GTTTGCCTTGGAGCGGTGTTGATGCAGGACGGTGGGGTGATTGCATACGCGTCCAGACAGTTGAAGATACATGAGAAGAACTACCCTGTCCACGACCTTGAGTTAGCTGCTATTGTTCATGCCTTGAAGATCTGGCGTCATTATTTGTACGGTGTGCCTTGTGAGATCTATACTGACCATCGGAGTTTGCAGCACTTGTTCAAGCAAAAGGATCTAAATTTGCGCCAGAGGAGGTGGTTAGAGTTGTTGAAGGACTATGATATTACTATTCTATATCACCCGGGCAAGGCCAATGTGGTGGCGGATGCCTTGAGTCGCCGGGCGGAGAGTTTGGGGAGTTTAGCATATTTACCAGTTTCAGAGAGGCCTATGGCAATGTATGTTCAGGCCTTAGCCAGCCAGTTTGTGAGATTGGACCTTTCGGAGCCCAGTCGGGTTCTAGCTTGTGTGGTTTCCCGGTCTTCTTTATTTGATCGTATCAGGGAGCGGCAGTATGATGGCCCTAATTTGCCAGAGATGTGACCATCGGAGATGACGGGGTATTGAGGATGCAGGGTCGGATTTGTGTGCCCAATATTGATGAGCTTCGAGAGTTGATTTTAGCAGAGGCCCATAGTTCGCGGTATTCCATCCATCCGGGTGCCGCGAAGATGTACCAGGACTTGAGGAAGTACTATTGGTGGAGGCGGATGAAGAAAGATATAGTTGAGTATGTGTCTAGATGCCTCAACTGCCAGCAGGTGAAGTATGAGCACCAGCGACCAGGTGGGTTACTTCAGTAGATAGAGATTTCGGAGTGGAAATGGGAGCGCATCACCATGGACTTTGTATCTGGACTCCCACGGACCTTGAAGAAGTTTGATGCCATTTGGGTTATTGTGGATCGGCTGACCAAGTCCGCTCATTTCATTCCTGTATGTACCACTTATTCATCGGAGCGGTTGGCGGAGATTTATATCCGGGAGATTGTCCGTCTGCATGGTATTCCAGTTTCTATTATTTCAGACAGAGGTACTCAGTTTACATCGTGGTTATGGAGAGTCGTGTAGCAGGAGCTAGGTACTCGGGTGGAGTTGAGCACAACATTTCATCCCCAGACGGACGGACAGTCCGAGCGCACTATTCAAATTCTTCAGGACATGCTCCGTGCGTGTGTGATTGAGTTTGGAGGGTCTTGGGATCAGTTCTTGCCATTGGCGGAGTTTTCTTACAACAATATTTAGCAGTCCAACATTCAGATGGCGCCGTATGAGGCTTTATATGGTGGGAGGTGTAGATCTCCGGTGGGTTGGTTCGAGCCGGGTGAGGACAGGCTATTGGGCACAGAGTTGATTCAGGACGCTTTGGAGAAGGTTAAGATGATTCAGGATAGACTCCGTACAGCCCAGTCCAGACAGAAGAGTTACGTGGACAAGAAGGTTCGTGATGTTTCGTATATGGTTGGAAAGCGAGTTCTGCTTTGGGTTTCGCCTATGAAAGGCGTTATGAGATTTAGGAAGAAAGGGGAGCTGGGTCCAAGGTTTATTGGCCCTTTCGAGATATTGAGACGAGTTGGGGAGGTTGCTTATGAGCTTGCCTTACCTCCCAGCCTGGCAGAGGTTCATCCGGTATTTCATGTTTCGATGCTCCGGAGATATCACAGTGATCCGTCACATGTTGGATTTCAGTTCAGTCCAGTTGGACAAGGATTTATCCTATGTTGAGGAGCCAGTGGCTATATTGGACAGGCGGATCAGAAAGTTGAGGTCAAAGAACATTGCTTCAGTAAAGGTTCAGTGGCGGGGTCAGCCGGCCGAGGAGGCGACCTGGGAGACCGAGCAGGATATGCGCAGCAGTTACCCTCATCTTTTCACTACTTCAGGTATGTCTTTATGCTCGTTCGAGGACGAACGAATGTTTAAGTGTAGGAGGATGTGACGACCCGGCCAGTCGTCTTAAGAATTAACACCCCGATCCCCTATTAACTGCTTTCCTCAAGTCTATTTATGCTAATTTGAATTGCCGGGATGTTCGGTTTTGAGTTTCGGAGAGTTTTGGGACAACTAGTCCCTGAATGAGAGCTTAAGTGTTGGAAAGTTGCCCGTAGTCGGAACAGTGTGAAGACGGCCTCGGAATGGAAACCGATGGTTTTGTTAGCTTCGTTAGGTGATTTCGGGGTTGGGAGCGTGTTCGGAACGTGTTTTGGAGGTCCGTAGCTAATTTAGGCTTGAATTGCCGAAAGTTGGAATTTTGAAGTTACCGGTTCGATAGTGAGATTTTGATTCGAGGGTCGGAATGGAATTCCGGAAGTTGCAGTAGCTCCGTCATGTCATTTGGGATGTGTGTGTAAAACTTCAGGTCATTCGGACGTGGTTTGGTTAGGTTTTTGATCGAAAGCGTGTTTTGAGAGAAATTGAAGTTCTTAGGCTTAAATCATTGATTAATTCGAGTTTTCGACGTTGTTTTAGGTGGTTTAAGGATTGGTGCAAGTTTGAATGATGTTATGGGATATGTCCGTAGGTTTGGTTGAGGTCCCGGGATCCTCGGGTGTGTTTCGGATGCTCAACGGAGCATTTTGGAGTTGTGTAAAATTGCAGAAATTCATCAGCTGTTGCAGACCCTTTTTCCTCTTCGCGATCGCGTCCTCCTCCATGCGTTCGCGTAGAGTAATTTTGGAGGAGGACCAATTTCTTCTTCGCATTCGCGTTCAGTGCCCCCGCGTTCGCGAAGCCCTGCCATTTCCTCCTTCACGTTCGCATACCAACCATCGTGTTCGCATAGTTCAATTTGGCTCTGAGGGCTGAGCACATTTTATTCATCGCGTTCGCATCTCCCTTGTCGCGTTCGCGTAGCTTTGTCAGCCCAGGCCTTCGCGTTCGCGTACTATTCCTCGCGTTGGCGAAGAGCATTTTTGGCAGCCTTCACTTTTCTTCTTCGCGAACGCGTGACTTCCTCTGTGTTCGCGATGCATTAAATACCTGGGCAGTTATAAACATTTCAAAATCTGAGGGTTAGCTATTTTATCCAAAACTCAAGCTTGGGAGCTCGGATTTGGGAGAGATTTCGAGGCATTTTCAAGGACAACGATTGGGTAACGATTCTAGACTCCTTTTTTCTCATAACCCGCTAATCTAATCGTGAATCCTCCTTTTAATTTCGGATTTTAGAGGAAAATTTGACAAAACTTCATGGACCGAATTTTTGAGTTTTGAATGGGTGTTTGACCTCCGATTTGAGAGATTTATATATGGGTAGACTCGTGAGGGTACGAGGGTTCTGAAAATGTTAATTTCATCCGTTCTGAGACGTTGGCCTGAGGGGCGTTTTGGTCATTTTACCTAATTTCGCGTCTTAGCTTTGAATTAAATAGTAGAATCAGTTGCTTGAGATGTTATTTACGATATGTAATTGAATTGAATAGATTTGGGCCATTTGGAGTCGGATACTCGTGGCAAACGTGTAATTTCGAGTTGATTTTTGGAGCCAGTTCGAGGTAAGTGGCTTTTCTAACCTTGTGTGGGGGACCTTTCCCCTTAGGATATGATATTGGAAATTGAATGCCTTGTACGTGAGGTGACGAGCGCGTACTTGAGCTAATTGTTGAAAAATCCGGTTTTACTTTAAATATTTAGACTGAGTTTCTTTCTTATCTGCTTTATTTTTATTTGCAATTATAGACTGTGTTAGCTAGAAAAGCATGCTTAGTTGTTCCAAATTGCCTATCTGCTCAAGTTGCCTTGTTTGTACTACGTGAAGCATCTTAGGCTAGAACTACCTGTTGCCTTGTATCTTTGAACTTCATTCTGGATGTCTTCTTGTTGTGACTGCGTATTTACATTGGGACTACGGATGTGGGATTCCGGTAGCTCCCCCCTTGTTTGTTTACTTTGGGACTGCGGGTTCGATTCCCGATAGATCCCCCCTGCATATTCTGCGGGTTCGATTCCCGATAGATTCCCCCTGCATATTTACTTTCGGACTGCGGGTTCGATTCCCGATAGATCCCTCCTGCATATTTACTTTGGGACTGCGGGTTCGATTTCCGATAGATCCCCCCTGCATATTTACTTTGGGACTGCGGGTTAGATTCCCGATAGATCCCCCTGCACATTGATAGTTTGAGAGTAGTCTTGTTACAATTTCCAAACCTTGTGGTTAGGCCAAAATTTTACGGTATAGCCAGTTTTCGGACTGGTCAATCAAAAATAGCCAGTGTTTACCAAGTCAATGAAAAATAGCCACCGTTTTGCTGCAATAGAGACCGGTCCAGCATAATATACTGGAGTTCAGTGCACTTTGTGTATGAACTCCAGCATATATTGCTGGACCGGTATACTTTGCTGGCTCCAGTATAATATACTGGAGACTGGAGCACTGGTGCTCCAAACTCCAGTATATTATACTGGACCACTATACTTGCCAGAACTCCAGTATATTATGCTGGAGTTCTAGTGTATTTATGTTGGAACTCCATCATATTATGCTGGAGTTCTAGCATACTATCCTGGAACTCCACTATAATATGCTGGAGTTCAAGTATACTTATGCTGGAACTCCAGCATAATATACTGGAGTATTTTCCGGGTTTTGAACAGTGTTTTTGCTCAGATTTATCTTTATATAAAAAATGGCTAAATTTCAATTACTTTTGAAATTGGGCTATTTTTGAACGACCAATTGTAAATCTGGCTATTTTTAAAAATCACCATGTGGTTAGCCGGTTATTTTTTGCTTTAAAAATATGCTAAAATATGATCTATTCGTTTCATTCCCAAAAAATGATGAGAAGGAAAAGTATTTCTTCGTCTTCATTTTATACGCAGTCTTTAAAAAATAATACGTATATTTTAATATATAAAAATTCAATTTAAATCTTTCATTTTCTTTGCTAACATATGTTATTATAGCAACAACAATATTATACATGTTTAAATCATAAATCTAATACTAATGCTTTTTATATGTGTCAAAAGTCCATCTTTCTTTTTAAAAATTCATGTCAAATCAAACGATACACCATCTAGAAAAATACAATTAATAGATTGAGGAAAAACTCCATTAAACCAACATGGTACAGTCACGTGTTTGACTTCACAAATGAAGTCATCCTATTATTCTTTTTTCCTTTTGTTTCTTTCCTATCCCTTGTAAAATGAAGAAGTCAATGATTTTTTACCAGTTAATTTGTTCCCAACCATTGACATTTTCAAAATCACTTTCCACTATGTTGTAGGACTTGCTCTCATTTTTAACAGAAATTGAAGAACTAATATTATCCCTATCAGCTGCTAATTCTTGATTTTTAACTGCTGCTGTATCTCTTGTCACTGTTGCCACTGGTCGTCGATCAAATGCTCGAAAACTTCCTGATACGACGTAAACTCGACATAAACTCATTTCATGCCTTAACTGCAATCAAATGTATTGCAAATATGTCCAATTAGACAAAAGCAAGAATGATAAAAGACACCAAATAGAAAAATGTTAAGAAGAAATCTAGATCGATCCATACTATTTTATTTTATTAAGATGAACTTAAATAGAATAGTAATGGTTCATATAGTCTACCATAATATATTTGTGATTGAGACGCTGCAGCAGAGTAGTTTAATTGGTACACTCGTTGTACGGAGGCTTTCATTAATTAAGTATTTTTTTTCTTTTTCACTTTATTTATGTTCATCTAACCCGGATGACATACAAAATAATTAAGTACGCCAATGCAATTTTTTTTGGATATTACGTGCGGGATGATTTGTATATCGAATTTTTTTTTGTGTGTGACCCGGCCAGAAGAACATGCAAAAAGAAAAAAATATGAACCCCTTCCAACCCATAAAAAATTCTGAATAATTAAAAAGAAAAAAAAAAAGGAAGGAAAAGAGAATAATTAATCACTCTATATATGTTAATTTTGAAATATTGGATTATTACCTTAGGAATAGAAAAACTTGAAGAGGTGGAAGTTTCTTGTTCAATAGCTCTGTACTCATTCATCTTCCACTTAGTTTTTCTCCCAGTAGGAGCTTTCCCTTTGTAAAATACCATACTTTTCTTCACCCCAATCACTTTACTCTCTGAAGAGTAAACATAAGTAGGAGAACCAGTAGCTTTCCAATAACCAGAAGTAGTAGTCCTACAAGGTCTCCCTCCTCTGGCTTCTCTTTCTTGCCTCGGCACAAAGAAAAACCATTGCTCTGTATCACCCATGCATGACTCCCCAGGCAAGTCTACGTATAAGATTAGAGTTTAAGTTCTATGGCATTCACACAATTAAGTTATCTATAATGAACTAGTTATAAGTAAATGATCTCTATAATAATCATTACTTGGATTAATCATCGGAGGCCGGAGCACATGCAATGAAGGAGAATTGAATCCCTCCGTCGGAAAGTTATACTACGTAAATAAGGTAAAAATAAATTTTTTTTATACATATATAAAATCTTGAATTCCCTTAATGTAAGAAAAATATATGTTCAAATCCTAGATTATAATGGATTTTTTTTTTTGAGCTCTCTTGTCAGAATTTCTAGCTTTGTCGTTGTTGTTGACGACCTGATAAAAATGGTAACTAACCTGATATAACATATTAGATCACTACACTAATACTGATATTATTTGTGTATATAACTTATAACCCTGAAAAATACAACAACAACAACAACCCAGTTATTTCACACGTGGGGTCTAAGGAGGGTAGTGTGTATGCAAATATTATCCCCACCTTAGGAAGATGGAGAGGTTGTTTCCAATAGACACTCACCCTCAGCTCAAGAAAGAGAAAAGAAACAGCGATTAAAAGTAAATAACCCTGAAAAATGGCTTCTTCAAATGATTAAGAAGAAGAACACAAAGAAATGAAAAGGAAAAAAGAAGATAAGTAGAAAGAAGAGTTGTGTACTTGGTAGATGCCAAGGGTCAAGACTATAAATGGTGACAACTGGGATTACTCTATCAAGCTCTGGCCTCTTTCCCTCTAACTTGTGGTGCAAATAGAAAGATATTAACTCTTCTTCAGTTGGATAGAATCGAAAACCTGGTGAAATTTCCACCATTGTTGTCTTCTAATTCTACTTCTTTCTCTTTTTCTTGTTTACTTTTTCTTTTTCCTTTTGTTATTTATTTATAGGGTTGTCAGCAGAAAATGGGACAAGGATGCCGTGTAAAAGGAGAAATTTTGTAGAGTTATTTAGTGGAATGTGATTTCCTTTTCAGTTTCCACACGGTTTTAGTTGTCCTAATTATAGCAAGAGCCACTACTAGAATACCTCTAAAAAGCGACCAAAGATTAGCAACCAAATTTGGTCTGTCAAAAAAAGCGACCAAAGTTGGTCGCCAAACTGCCGAAAATAATAAAAAAAATATTTGAAATACTTTAGCGACCAAAGTTGGACGCTATTTGGTCGCAAATTTAGTCAAACTGTTGACTGGACTGGCCAGACTTGTTTGGTCAAAGATATACTGAGATTAGCGACCAATGTTGGTCGCTTAAGCGGGACCCACATAAATTTTTTTAATAATTTTATTATTATTTTATAAAACTTATAAAATATAAATATATATAATTTAAAACTTGCGACCAAAGTTGGTCGCTAACTGAAGGATAAGTTGATAGCGACCAACA